GGTGGTTGTTCTCCTACAAGGGAATGCCTCAACCCAATGAGAGAACAGACAAATCATAACTAACACATATTTGTGTCTTTGCGTTGGTGGCATTTGGATAAAATCCAATTGCCTTCCCTCCAATGGATCTAAAGGGAACAGGATATGTCAGTGGGATTCACAGAGTGGTTTTCCAGGATTATATTTTGGATAAATGGAGCATCTGTTTTATGTTTTATGAGCTACAGCTGGAGAAGGTTTCCAGTAATATTGTTCACTCCCTGAAATTATCTTTTCAGGACCCCAATGTGTTAGTTCACGTACATGTTGAAGGATAAGCAATTGAGTCCCTCTAGGTAAGATTGTTTTTCCATTGGGTTCAAGCCATATCGCTTTGTCTGGGTCAAAGATTCCCCTTTGTGTTGCCATATTTTCTTTTTTCTCTAGTTATCTTTTGGAACTGTAAAAGGGCTTATATTGATTTATCAGGGAGCAAAGAATATTCTGGATGGATCTGGATCATTTGATTGCTTAGTGCTGCTTGTTTAGCAGCAGCAGCAGCTAAATGAATCCCTTTTGCTTCCACGGTGGTAACTTCAGAATGCCATGGAATTTTGATAATTACCAATTGTCCCAGTTGCTGTGTGGCATTTTATAATTCTGCAACCTGTTTTTCATTCTTTACAGACTGCCTTGGGGAAGTTAAGAAGCCTTGCTCTTTCCATAACATTTCAAAGTCATGAGTTACACCAAAAACATCGTAACTATCAGTGTAAGTATTGGCTCTTTAATCTTTGGCCATTTGGCAAGCTTGGATTAGAGCAATTAATTTGGGTTTGGGCTGATCTTATTTCAGTTAAATAAGACCTTTCGATACATACACCATGGGAGTTATTGTATATCCAGCTTGGTAATATTCCTGTTCATTTTTAAGATAAGATCAATCTGCCAACTAAATTAAGTCAGCATCATCAATAGAATTTCCTATAAATCTTTCCTAGGAGCAAGAAGGTGGTCAGTAAGTAAAGCGCAATTGTGGGTGTCCTTATCCTGTAAAGAAGGCGGAAAAGTTGCTGGATTAAGGCTTAGATCAGGCTGAAGTAATATTAGGTGTGGAAAGCAGGAGTACTTCATAAGGAGCCAGTTGGCTGGCTGATAAATGCTGAGTATGGTGAGAGTTTAGCAAAACCTCAACAGAATGAAGAACATGAGTTCTTAAGAGAGTCCATAACCACTTCTTCTGTTTGTTTGCATCACATGGCTGTGATGGCCCTTATACAGGGAGGGAGCCTTTTTGCTACGGAGTCTAATTGCTGGCTGTTATATCCCATAGGTCTATGGTGATCTCCATGTCACTGAATTAGAACTCCTAAAGCATTGCCTTATATTTTCATGCATGAAAAGGAAGAAAGGAAGTTTATAATTAGAATGTCCTAAAGTGGGAACTTTAGATAAATCTTCCTTAGAGCTTCTTCAGCTTGTTCTCACTTCCCCTTGGGGGTTCCCTAGGATTTATCAGGTCCATCTAATTTTAATAAGACACATAGAGGCTGAGCCATAAATGAAAAATTTGGAAGCCAGTTGTGACAGTATTCAGTCAGTCCTAGAAGTACCATAATCTGTTCCTTAGTTCTTGAAGGAGGAAAGGATAAGATTCCTCTGAGTCTTTCAGGATTAATTAGAATTGAAGCTTGTCTTTTGAGACTTTCTGTCCTTTGATAGCTCGCTGTTGTAATGGATAAATTGTATCCTTTTGGGAATCTAGCAATGTCCTAGAGCACAAAAGTAAATTATCACCATATTGGATTATAGTGGAATCTCTGGGAAATTCAACATCATTTAAAATCAGCATTTAGTATCTGAGAGAAATAGTGGGACTTTTTGTATAACCTTGGGGCATTACGAGCCACAGTAATGGCTGATAATGGGGTGTGTAAATTTGGAGCCACAGAATGTCTGGGAATAACTACTTATTTATAGCTCTGAGATCCTGTACAAATCTCTATTTTTTTCCACTGGGCTTCTTTGCTGGAATGATAGGAGAATTACAGGGGCTCATGCATGGAATCATAAGGCTCCCTTTAAAGTAATCTTGTATCATGGGCCTAATTCCAGCTAGTGCATCAGATATTAAAGGATATTTATGAATACTAGGTAGAGGCAAAGTGTTGTCAATAGTTCTTTTGATAGGAGTGGCTGATTTAATCTTGTCAATATCTGTGCTGAAAAGAACACAGAGTTCCACAGGAATGTTCTACAACAAATGTTTAGCCTGGAGATTAATTTCTGCTTGTGAAGCTTCCTTTAAAATCATTGTTTTCTCAGTAGGTTCAGCATCTAATTCATACAGTTCTAAATACATTTCACCCTTCTGAGAAAAGGATACGTGGGCATTATGGGTTTCAAGAAAGTCTCACCCTATCAGGGCAGATTTGATTAGTAAAAATATATTTGCCCTGTACCATTCCCTGGCTGAAAGAGAATAGATTCTGATTTGAAATCAACATTGGTTGATTAGATATCCCTACCATTTGGACAGAAGCTTTACTCTGAGGGAGAGGGCAACTTAGTTGGGTAGGATTAAGAAAAGATAAACTAGTTCCAGTATCTACAACAAACTTAGTGGTTTTTCCTTTTATGGTAATTTCAATTTCTCCAAAAGTATTGGCAAGGAGGAGAGGAAATGCCCCCTAATATTCCTCAGATCTACTCTGTGCTTTCTCCTGTTCCTTTTCTTTTTCTAAATCATATTTCAGTTTTTTTTTCTGCAATCCTCCTTAACAGGACCTGGATTTTTACAGTAAAAGCAGACTCACCTTTCCCCTCATAGAAAAAATTTCAGGGAGGTTTGACCTGATTGCTTAACTGCTGGACCGTAAATTCATGATACAAGTAGCTTTATTTTTTAATTTCTTTTCAATAGTTTTAAATAATTGTTTGACCAGAATTGCTAGTATGTTAGTATGTGTGGTTGGCCAGTTTAATTCATGTTGTTTAATGAGTTAAAAGCTCCTCATCTAATCCTTCCAAAAATGCTGAATTGAGCAATGGATCATTTTAAAGATCCTTAAAACTGTCTGAAGATAGTCCTAAATATTGTTTGAAAGTTTTTCTCAAAATATTAAAAAAAGAATTAAGTATGATTTCATCAAGTTTTTGTTTATATTGCTGGATTTTTGTTCAGTCTATTTTCTGGAGAAATATCTCAAGGATGGGTTGAAGCTGGTGGGCTAATTACTTGCATTTTTCCAGGTCTGTTTCTCTTTGTTTTAAAATGTCCTCTGTAGGAGTTTTGCAGCAAACCTCATTTAACCATTCTGTTGCTTTGCTCTCAGAAACCACTGGTTGTATTAGTTGAAACAGGTCAGAAAAGCCAGGATCATATATTCTAACAAATCAAATTCCTTTGCAAACCCATAAGGGACTTGAATAGGATTAGGAAAATCTTTAGTTAGACTTCTTAATTCTATTTTAGTCCAGGGAGAGTCAATTAATACTGGTTTCCCCTCATCCTGAGACCAGATTTTCTCTGAAGGCAGCTGCCAGAATTTCTGGTTGTTTTAGCCTATCCTTGTCTGGCTTTCTATTCTTAGTTTCCCCTCAGTCAGTAGAGGGTGGTGGTGGAAAAGATGTTGAGGAGAGAAAAGGAGGGGGAGGAAGGGAGGACGAGTCTGCACAAGGAGCTCAGGAAGTAGTGGGGCGGCTGGGGAGTAGGGGGACCTGGGATACTGGCCTTGAGCTGTTTCAGAAGACTCCTTTAGTTCAGAGCCAGTCTCTAAAAGTTTCTGACTAACTTCCCAAAGAGAAGAAATTTTATCTGAGCTCAAACCCAGCCTTTAAAAGTTTCTTCTTAACTTCCTGAAGAGGAGAAAATTTATCTGCATTCCTTGGAGGCTTCTCTTTTCCAGTCAAGGTAAGCATCCCATTCACTGAGCTCAGTTTTAGAGCCAGTTTTTCCCAAATGAGTTCATGAAAAAGGTTAATTTATGGGTATCAAAAGTGCCCTATTTTGGCCATTTTAAGCTGATATCACTTTTGATGAAATATTCCCATTTTGTAGATACTTGTAAATTGTGCCTCCGTATGAATTTGTTACTGAGCAAGGGCTCACTGCCCAACACAGAGAAGCCAATGCGATGGCACTGGATTTTGAGAAAAGAAAAAGCATTATTGTGAAGTCACCCAGCAAGGCTCAAATCTGTCTTCCTGGTACAAGGTTTGGGGCGAGAGTCAAGGGATTTCAGCACTGTATCTTCTGGACAGCAGAGCTTTTGCTTCTTGTCCCTGCCCTTGTTTCCAGCGAGGGGGCGAAGCCTCTCCTCTGTGCATACTGGAGCTACGTGGCTTGCAGTTCGTTCTCTGGTCTCTGGAAAACAACTCAGTATCCTGTGAGAAACAGGATAAGGCCTCTTTGAGCTAGATCCGCAGTGACAATTACCCCCTTTTTGTTGTTTATTCTTCAATCTTGGGGACTATTGGCCACGACTGCTCTTGCTACTTCCTATAGATAAGGGGACAGAGTAAGCCAGGAAGAGTGTAAGAGAGCATAAAAAGTAGACCACCCTGTAGGACTACACAAGCAAATATCACAACCAGGAAAGTAAAACACGCTGGCTTTTCTTTTTTTAAGTTTAGATGCATTTCATTTTTAGAAAACCTATATGACATGTTTTTCTTTTCTTAAAAACAATGCCTCTGCTCCAAAAAAAAATCAGGGTCAAAATAAATGACGAGCTCAAGATAACATCAGTCCCATTTGCCCTAGTCCTGGCGTGAAGATGAAAAGCAGCAGCCAGTTATGACAGCTGACTGATCCAAACTGCCAAATTTGCTAACATTTTTCCATTTATAAACCATCCTTAAAGAAAATCGTATATGGGTTCCACCATCTTCATGGTAGTCCAGCAGAGAACCATGGCATCTAGATTCATGTTTTCAGCAAAAACTACTGGTAGTTTTTGAAATTAGCCAGGATGTGCTTGATTTGTTCTGCAGCCCCTGTTGTAAAAAGCTTTACTCTTAAAAATATGGAACGCTTCATGAATTTGCATGTTATCCTTGCATAGGGGCCACACTAATCTCTGTATCATTTCAGTTTTAGTATATGCACTGCCAAAGCAAGCACAGATATCATTTAAACCAAAACAATAACAAGTTAAGATGGGGTGTTTAATATAGAATATTTTACTCTTGGGCAGAAGCAGGCTACTTACCAGATGTTCACATCTCTTCTTCCTGACCAAGCCAGGACTCAGTTTTCCTGCTTTGTTTGCAAAGTAATTTCAGATATCCAAGCTTTATCAGTTAAGTGTTCACAAATGTTCCTTGTGAATGGTGTATATGAGGTTTAACTAGAACTTCATAGGGTCCATTCCACTTAGGTTGTAGCTGACCCTCAGGGTGTTGATTTTTTCCAAGTTAGGAGGAAGCTCTAATCCCTGGGCTCATGCAATGTGAGGACATGTCATGGGAAACATTAATAGGCTAGAAGCATATTTATGTATAACAGATAAAGTAGCACCTACAAACTACACATTTTACAGTATCTAATGCTTTTATAATATGATCATTTTCAAGATCATAATACTTAGTCTTACGGAAGGTCTCCCATGTAACATTTTGTAGAGGCTCACTGGAGCTTGCTCCTAGGAGCTAGTCTTACTTGCTGCAGGGCAACTGATAAGACCTCATTCCAAATTACACTGATTACTTGACATCCTCATCATTTAGTCTTTCTTGACTGAAGCATCCATGAAGCATGCACTATGACTTCCTCGAAGATGGTGGGGGGGACATTTAAAAATTCTTGTGGAAGTACCATCCAGCAATACTGTTTTTTAAAATATATTTTATTGATTATGCTATTACAGTTGTCCCATTTCCCCCCTTCACTCCCCTCCACCCTGTACACCCTCTCCCACCCATATCCCCCCCTTTAGTTATGTCCATATGTCATACTTATAAGTTCTTTAGCTTTTACATTTCCCATACTATTCCTACCCTCCCCCTATCTATTTTCAACCTACATTCTATGCTACTTATTCTTTGTACCTTTTCCCCCTCTCTCCTCCTCCCACTCCCCTGTTAATAACTCTCCATGTGATGTCCATTTCTGTGGGTCTGTTCCTGTTCTAGTTGTTTGCTTAGTTTCTTTTGGTTTTGCTTTAGATGTGGTTGTTAATAACTGTGAGTTTGCTGTCCTTTTACTATACATGTTTTTTCTTTGTCTTCTTTTCTTAGGTAAGTCCCTTTAACATTTCATAAAATAAGGGCTTGGTAATGATGAACTCCTTTAACTTGATCTTATCTGAGAAGCACTTTATCTGCCCTTCCATTCTAAATGAGAGCTTTGCTGGATAGAACAATCTGGGATGTAGGTCCTTGTCTTTCATGACTTGGAATATTTCTTTCCAGCCCCTTCTTGCCTGTAAGGTCTCTTTTGAGAAATCAGCTGACAGTCTGATGGGAACTTCTTTGTAGGTTACTGTCCCCTGATCTCTTGCTGCTTCTAGGATTCTCTCCTTCATTTTTACTTTGGCTAATGTAATTATGATGTGCCTTGGTGTGTTTCTTCTTGGGTCCAACTTCTTTGAGGCTCTCTGAGCTTTCTGTATTTCCTGGAAGTCTATTTCCTTTGCCAGAATGGGGAAGTTCTCCTTTATTATTTGTTCAAATACATGCTCAATCTGTTGCTTTTCCTCTTCCCCTTCTGGTACCCCTATAATTCGGATGTTGGAACGTTTAAAGATGTCCTGGAGGTTCCTAAGCTTCTCTGAATTTTTTTTTGAATTCTTATTTCTTCATTCTTTCTTGCTTGGTTGTTTTTTTTCTTCCTTCTGGTCCACTCTATTGTTTTGAGTCCCAGTTTCCTTCCCTTCACTATTGGTTCTCTGTGCATCTTTCTTCATCTCTTTTATGGTAACCTGCATTTTTTCATGTAATTTGCACCCAAAATCAACCAATTCCGTGAGCTTCCTGATCACCAGTGTTTTGAACTGTGCATCTGATAGATTGGCTATCTCTTAGTCACTCAGAAGGATGAGTCCTGGGGGATTGAGCTGTTCTTCTGTTGGAGACATGTCTCTCTCTCTCTCTCTCTCTCTCCGTTTTTGGTCTGGTCGTTCTTGTTATGGTGAGGGGTGGAGCCTTAGGTGTTCACCAGGGCTGGGCACCTCAGTCGCTAGGTTGTGACATATGTGGGGGCGGGGGTGGGAGGGAACAATGGTGGTAGCTCCGCTCTCCTGGGGCCTCAGTAACCCCCCTGGGATCCTGGGTTGCGTGTTCTGCCCTGGTCCACAATGCCACCTCACTGGGTCCGCCAGCCGCCGCTTGCGTACTCAGGGTCCACCGCTGCAATCTTGGGTGTCCCGGAAGGCTTACGTGCTCGGTCGCCTTATGCGCCCAGTTCTCCGTGATCTCCACGCTCCACGACCTGCGCCCGCTCCTCCTCTCCACCCCTCCTACTGGTCTGGATGAACGGGTCTACTTCAACTTCTTGGCTGTCCGACTTCCATTCAGATAAATTCTCTATCAGTTCTGGGTGTTATTCTACCTCTAAATTGTTGTTGTTCTAATCTTGGTTGTGCGTGGTGGTATGGTGTGTCCACCTATGTCTCCATCTTGCTGGAAGTTCCCAGCAATACTGTTTTATATTAGTCTCCACATCACTCTGTTCAAAGATAAACAGTTTCTAAAACTCAGGACTTAGGGGTACGCAGTAAAAGGCATATTTTAAGTCCAGAAATATAAACCAGCAATTCCCCAGATAAAGTTGTAAGCAAAGTATAGGGACCAGATGTCTACAATTTGGTTAATGGCTCTAAGGGTGTCCCTGGGCCCCACCATTTCTGGTCACTATCAGTGAATTGTGGCATTTGGAGAGAGCTTTTGGAGCAAGTCCTTTTTCCTTCTTGCCAAAGAAGGTTGGAGTACTCCCATTTCCAATATCCTCTTGTCTACCAAAGGTGCATTTTTGTGGTCCAAAAGATGGATGGCCTTTTTGGCTGGGTTGGGAGGGTCCCAGGGACCTTACACATGGTTGTTTGTTCTTCCCTGCAGACATCTTGTTGGGTCCTGGCAGTTCATGGCCAAGGGCAGCAGCGAGCAGAGCAGCTTGTTGTCTCATGCCATACTGCTTTGGCCTTTCCTGAATTCGTTCTCAGTCAACAAACACTTTAAAAGCAATTCAGACATTGGCAACCCCAACCCCCTTTCCAGTGTTTTAGCTTTTTTCTTGTACCTGGGGCATTCTGATTGATAAAGATCATATTGACCAGTTCTGTATTCTGGATCAATATTGGCATATTGTTGGTAAGCCTTGAAATCCCTTTCAGGGAAGGTGGATGGGTTCTCCTTGGGCCCTTGCTGTGTTTCCTGGATCTTACTCAAACACTTTGGTTTGGGGCCCCTTTGAGAAGTTCTGCTACCAAACACTCCTTATAATGGTTTAACTTTGCCTGGTCTCCTGGGTCACTGGGGTTCCATCCTGGTTCTGTTCCAGGGATGGCTTGTGTTGCTGGAGTCCTGGTTGGATTGTTTGGTTGTAATTCATGGAGCCTTTTGGCTCCTTGAATGGCCTTCTCTAATACTACCCTGTGGTCCTCTGGAGTGGGGAGGGTATTAATGAAGACATGTATCTCAGCCCAGTTAGGATGATGAGTCTTGGCCACGTGGCATGCTATTCTTTCAATTATATACTAACAGATCAGAGGTAGAAAAGGGGGAGTGCACTTATAAAGATCCCATAGGTTGACCTTGGTCATCTAGATCTACAGGAACTTATCTCAATAGAAATTGCTTTACCTGAGGCAGAGTAACCCCTGGGCCAAACTGGGTGTTCTGGTGGATATGGTGAGAGGAGACCATTCCCTTCTGACTCTCTGGTAAGAAAGGGTGCAGCCCTCAGTCATGACCAGCCAAGACCTGACAAGGTGTCTGCAGGAACAAACAACTGAGCATTGGTTAGAAACCCAGGACCCCAACAACCCAGCCGAAAGGCCACTCATCTGTTGGAACATAAAAATGTGCCTCCTGTGGCCCTGGGAGGATTACTAGGGGAAGCCTCTGCAGCAGTCCCTAAGTGAGGGGAAGCTGAGGACTTGTTGCTGCACCCGTGAGCTCAGCTTTAGGTTCAAGTTAGATTTAGCAGAACCTTGGGCCTTAGGTTGAAGGTTACTGTAGTGTTGGGGGTTGGATTATGTACCTCTGAAATTCATATTTCAGAGTCCTACCTCCCTATGAAATTATTGGCATAATTGTATTAATATCTCCCACATTCAACACTGTTTTCTATTTGTTGCCCTTGTGTTTTTCCTATTTTTGTCTTCCACTCTTCTGCCTTCTGTTGTTTTAATTGAACATTATATGTTCTATTGTCTCTCATCATATCAGTTATACTTCTATTTTCTTTAGTGATTACCCTATTTACAGCTAATGTAAGTCCTCTTTCAAATAACCCTATGCCGTTTCATGGGTGATGTGTACCTTATAACAAAACGATCCTAATTCTTTCCTCCTGTCCCTTTATCATTGCTGTCATGTCGTTTTACTTATTTTGAGCACACTATTAGAGCAATTAAGAATATGAAACTTTATCTTCACTTATTCCTTCTTTGTTCTTCCTTTTTTTTAAAAGGTTTTATTTATTTTTAGAGAAAGGGGAAGGGAGGGAGAAAGAGAGGGAGAGAAACATCAATGTGTGGTTGCCTCTCGAGTGCCCCCCACTGGGGACCTGGGCCGCAATCTGGGCATGTACCCTGACTGGGAATCGAACTGGCAACCCTTTGGTTCACAGTACAGTGTTCAATCCACTTAGTCATATCAGCCAGGGCTGTTCTTCCTTTCTTTATGTAAACTTAGAAATTTCTGACTTAGAAGTTCTTTCAAAAGAAGAAAACTATAATATTTCTTGCAAGGCAGGTCTATTAGCAACAAATTCAACTTGTTTGAGAGTCTCCATTTCTTCACTTCCAAAGGGTAGGATAAATTGCAGTGTACAGAGTTGTAAGTTGTTGTTGTTTTGCTCTTGACATTTCAAATATTGCACTCTTCTCTCTTCTTGCTTACTTGGTGTCAGAGAAGTAGGATGTAATTCTTATCTTTGTTCCTCTATAGGTAAAGTGTT